AAAACATCAAACCGACATAACTTCATTCCTCAATGTTTGAGGGTTCCCCCCTCCCCACCACTTGCACCCTTGCGTTGCCTGGCTCTGGCGACCTCGCTCTTGCCGCCCCTCCACCTCCTCCCGTTGCGGTCGCGGTCGCCGTGCTCGTGGAACCACTGGGTCGCGTGGTGTTCCTGGCACGTCTTGCCAACGCACACCGAGAAGAAGGTGTGTTTGCCGCACTGCCAACACTTCTTGCAGTTCATCTTGCGAAGCCACAAGCGGTGGGACGAGCGGGTGTACCGCTTCCTGTGGTCCTGGAAGTCCAGCATGAATTCCTCCTCCGCCTCGCTGTCGTCGTCGTCGACCTCGAAGACAGGCGCGCGCCCGTCCTGCAGGGTGTCTCTGTAAATCAATCCCTTCAGGAAGGGTCACGGGTCTCTGTGATCCCCTCAGGAAGGGGAGGTTCTATCGATAAATCCCCTCTGGCAGGGGTCTCTGTAAACGGATCCCCTCAGGAAGGGGCGCCTTAACCACTTGTACCCCCAGCTCCTCGTGAGGCCGCTTGCCGCCGCCACCGCCTTCTGGAGGCAGCCCGCCGCCGCAGCCGCCCGACATCATCATGCCGGAAGCCTGGGGTCCAGAACGGTTGCGGCCGAAAGTTTTTAGTCAGACTCAAAAGGCTAAAATCTGGGGGCCTCGTGGGAGGCCCTTCGGGGGGGTGAATGCAATGGAATTTCATAGGAATTCGTCCAATTTTAGACCCCCCTTTTTTTGCTAAAAAAGGTGGGTCTAAAACTCGGCTGCTGGATTGATTTTTCATCGCCCAGATGGCCAAACAAGTGGCCGCCACTCTTACTTTTCTCCTCATCCTGCCCCAACTCCCCCCTTGCATTCTGCTTCCGCGCGGCCTGGAGCGCCGAGGGGCACATGATGAGCGCCCGCATGGCCGCGAGCTCGGGGCGGGGGGCTGGCCCCCGAGCGCGCTGGGCGTCAGCTCTGTCGAACGGTTGCGGATGAAGAACATGGAAGCACATGGGAGAGGGATGGAACGAGGAGGAAACGCAATGCCATACACATAATGAGTAAGCAGACTGCCGCACCTTTGATCCCCTCCCCGAGGGGCCCCCTCTCGGTGGGGGCCGTTGCCCTGTCTTATCACGAGTGTGCTGAAGCCCCTCTTAAGGGGTTCCCCTCTTAAGGGGTTCCATCACTCGCCAATCCATCGCGCGGTCCCCTCACGGAGGGGCGCCCCTGCGATGAGGGGGTGTCGTCTAGCACTGGAGAGGGCGCTCTGCCAACGGGCATGGCGATGGCAATGGCGATGAAGACGGTAAGGATGATGATGATGATGGATGCGATGATGAGGATGGATGCGATTAGTCGCCCAAGCGCTGTGCCACTAAGCGCTCAGCCTCCGCCTTAGCAGCTTCCTTGGTGTCAGCCACGGTGCCGTCGACCAAGGCCTTCTTCAGCTCTGCGCCGATCTCCCTGAGCGTGGCCTCGTCCAAGGTGTCCTTGTACTTTTTCCCGCCGAAACTCACAAACTGGTTCTTCTCACCGTGCGTCCGCTTCAACCCGATAGAGTGGTCCCTCTTGTAGTACATCACGCTGTACCCGCGGTCGGCGTGGCCAGCGGGGGGCCCAGCGCCGACCGAGGGCTCATCTGCAGCATCCACGGGCTCATCGGGTTCCAGCTGCTCATCCTCCTCCCCCTCATCGTCCTGGTCCGTCTCCGTGTTCGCGGCGGCTGCACTGGGCTTTCTCATTGCAGGCTTCTTTGCCGCTATATGTCCTGCTGGCTTCCCTTTTTTGCACGCTTTCGCCTTCGCCTGCGCGGCTGCCGCTCTTGCTGCCAGGAGGGCGTTGGGCTGCTCCGTCTTCTCCGTCCTGCCGTCGGGAAACACGGCATCCAAGAAACCGTCGCCTCCTTTCGTCAGTGTTCCCCGCTCCTCCCTGTCTGCGAACTTCATCACCATGCACAACGGCTCGGAGTTGAAATCGAAATACGTGGCCAGGGGATCCTGGGGCGGGTCTCTCACTTGCCCCTCCCGAGCTCCCCTCCCGAAGGGGTTCGGTTACGCCGTGAAAAATCAAAACTGCCCCCCTCCCCCTCCCACCCTGCCCGCCCCCTCCGATCCTCCTTCGGGGCCGCGGCGGGCGGGTCAGCGAGCTCGACGTCCTCCTGCGACGAGAACACCACCATCGGGCTCCACGTGGCAACCTTCTGTTTCTTCCCTGCCGGTTTCGGAGGCGGGCTGATGCCGAAGGCGTTCTTGATGACATTGCGCCTGCTGCCCCCATCTGCGCTGGACGACGCGGCGGCCGTGGAAGATTTTGGAGGGTTCATCTCTATGTCGGAGCTGCTGTCGGCGCGTTTTTTGCTCTCTCCTGTGCTTGGGCTTGCCCTGCCAGGCTGCAGCCCCATTGCCACCCCAAGCATTTTTGCGTGCGCCTCCAGCTTCCCCCCCGTCTTGGCGATGTAGAACTTGTTGCAAACATGGCTGAAAGCGTTGGCCACCTCCTGGCAGAAACGCCTACACTCTTCCTGGTGCATGTTCGGCTTCTGCTTCAACACGACGTCCTGGAGGTTATTCCATTTGACGCGTGTGGTGAGCTGCGCAAGCGGCAAGAGAAACGGCATGTTGTTCTTCATGAAGTCATCTATGCCCCCTTGCAGTTGGCATTTTTCGATGAGATCAATGTGCTGTTTCACGAGCGGCTTCAACTGTTCCTCAGTCACAGAAGAAGCCCGTATCTTCACCTCCGTCTTGCCCTTGACCATTGCCCACCCCCCGCGCAGTGCGCGCAAGCAAGAGTAGCGCTATGTGCCCTCGAGCCTTCGCAGCTGCGGGATGTTGTAACATGCGCGCAATGTGATGCAGCCGATACCCCTCGCTCAGGGGACGCATGCCCCCTCACTCAGGGGATCCTTAACAATGCGCGAGCGAAGAAAAGTACGACCTGGCCAAAAATCATGGGTTGGACTATAGTGCGACCCAAGGAAAGTGCCAGGTCGATCTATAGTTCGGCCCCGCACTATGGATCGACCTTGGAGTCTCAAGGTGGGCTCCTCTGGGCACCTCCCCCGGGGCCGGCTTTGTGAGGATGTCTCAAGCGAGGGCGCCGGTTTGGGATTCGTCGGCGGATCCACCGGATCCACCGGATCTGTCCGGAAACGGTGCCGGAGGCCGCTCTGGGCTCCTCTGGGCGCCTCCCCCGGGGCCGGTTTTGTGAGGATGTCTCAAGCGAGGGCGCCGGTTTGGGATTCGTCGGCGGATCCACCGGATCCACCGGATCTGTCCGGAAACGGTGCCGGAGGCCGCTCTGGGCTCCTCTGGGCACCTCCCCCGGGGCCGGTTTTGTGAGGATGTCTCAAGCGAGGGCGCCGGTTTGGGATTCGTCGGCGGATCCACCGGATCTGTCCGGAAACGGTGCCGGAGGCCGCTCTGGGCTCCTCTGGGCACCTCCCCCGGGGCCGGTTTTGTGAGGATGTCTCAAGCGAGGGCGCCGGTTTGGGATTCGTCACCGGATCCAGCGGATCTGTCCGGAAACGGTGCCGGAGGCCGCTCTGGGCTCCTCTGGGCACCTCCCCCGGGGCCGGTTTTGTGAGGATGTCTCAAGCGAGGGCGCCGGTTTGGGATTCGTCACCGGATCGTCCACGGATCGGATCTGTCCGGAAACGGTGCCGGAGGCCGCTCTGGGCTCCTCTGGGCACCTCCCCCGGGGCCGGTTTTGTGAGGATGTCTCAAGCGAGGGCGCCGGTTTGGGATTCGTCGGCGGATCCACCGGATCCACCGGATCCACCGGATCTGTCCGGAAACGGTGCCGGAGGCCGCTCTGGGCTCCTCTGGGCACCTCCCCCGGGGCCGGTTTGCGCCGGTTTGGGATTCGTCGACGGATCCACCGGATCCACCGGATCCACCGGATCTGTCTGGAAACGGTGCCGGAGGCCGCTCTGGGCTCCTCTGGGCACCTCCCCCGGGGCCGGTTTTGTGAGGATGTCTCAAGCGAGGGCGCCGGTTTGGGATTCGTCGGCGGATCCACCGGATCCACCGGATTTGTCCGGAAACGGTGCCGGAGGCCGCTCTGGGCCCCTGTGCTCCCCACGCCGGGGGTGAGGATGACGGTAGTTCCACAGAAACTCCCTCAAATTATTCGCATTTGTAAGTTACCTTTTGTGAATACTTGTCCGACCAGTTGCTTCGCCAGGCCGCTATCTACGATGCGATAGATGTGCTGAGCACTGGAGATTGCCACGGGATGTTCCCATCAAGTTTCTACGACGCGCAGTGCACGTACCTTGTTGCGCTGCCCGTTTGTCTGTGAATCGCGCGACAGGGATCGCCCTCCTGAGGGGCAGCGGATTTCTCGATCTGTTTTTTTTTCTGGTTGTTCTCGTAAGGGAGCATTGCTCTTTACCTCTGTCTCTTGAGTCTACGACTGGCAGCTCTGCACGAGTACTTCGGTCAGTAACAGCCGTCGTCGTGTTCGGCGCGGAAGGACAGATGGCGCTTGGCGCCTGTGCAGATCGTTTCTGCGAGCATCGTCGAAAGGCTCGGCCGTAGCCTTTTCCAGGCAGCCCAGGCCACGTCGCCCAACGATTGCATGCAAGCGGGACGCCGGGTAGCCTCTGCGGATGCGGTGCAGGGCCTTATTTGGCTGCCGGGCTGCGGCGCCAGCCCCGAGCTACGCAGACGTTAGCCGCATCGTGCACATGTCTCGGTGACCCGCGCCGCTGCCTCTTGAGCCGGCATCGTTGCCTCGCGCTGCCAGTTGATCGTGCCCCTCCCTTCCGCATATCATCTTCCAGAAAGAGGTGGGGGAGGAGGAGGAAGAAGAGGAGGCGGAGGAGGGGGAAGAGGAGGGCAAGGAGGCGGAGGAGGGGGAGGAGGAGGAGGAGGAGGAGGAGGAGGAGGAGGAGGAGGAGGAGGAGGAGAGACGAGCAAACGCGAGGACGCGCAGGAGGGGGAAATGTCGGGACCTCCTGGCCTCGTCTTTATCTCCGCCCCCCCGCCCAG